TTTTTAGCTGCACGCGAAAGACAACACGTTTGAGAGCGATCATTAACAGCGAGATCAGGCAGAGAAAAAGAGAGAATAAGAAGGTATTAAAGACGTCTTTGCATTTTCATTTACTCTCGCTCCATCGTGGCGACTAGCGATTCGTAAACTTCTCCTCAAATCCCTCAAATCCCTCGATCGGGTAAGGTTGGTCAAAGAGAAAGGAGAGTAGAGGGACAAAGAGTGGGGGACAACCTTTTTTGAAAAACAAGTAGTGCGCGAAAGTAGTAGAAGCGAAGTTCTCTCCGAGTGGAGCGTGATCGAATCGATCGACGCTTGAAAATATATTTCAGTATATCGCGTTATCTTATAATTGATCCTTATAAAATCCTTAATAAAACACAGAAATTGATGAAAAAAAAGAAAAAAGTAAGATACAAATTTTTAAATGCCTGTTTCCTAAATAATGCAATTTATATAATTCGAATTAATTTAAAATTTTAATTAAACTTTATCATACATCGCGATACATCTCGACACGATTAATTCAACGGTGGAACATCGCTGGAAGTAATTAGAGTTTCGATACTCTAAACTAACGAGAATGATCAATATTTTTATCTAAAGAAAAATAAAAAAAATCGCTTCGATTCGTATAGAATTTTAATTCTTGAAATTCGTCGAAATTATAATCGCGAATGTTTGTTGACCGAGCACCAGGAACAGAGTTACGTAATATTACGAAGAAAAATGGAAAAGCGTTGGAAAGGAAGAAGCGGCTTACAAACAACGTGCGTCGAATGAGAAAACACGTTCTTCTCGAGTAATCCTCCCTTCGCATATTCGCGTGAAATCGTCATCACGCTTCTTATCGATATCACGATCGTTGGATCACAACAATAAATCGCGATAAGCGTGTAACAAGAAAACTTTTAAAAATCATACAATTCCAAAACTTATTTATTTCCCTCGGAGAAGAGAAATCCGCTAAACATTTTTCGATTCCTGCCTCGAATCCTTTCGAGGATTATTCCAATATTCGCAAATCGAATAATTTCCCCTTTCCTCGAATCTCGTAACACTCGTACGTGTACTAATAATAAAATCTAATAAGCACGATGAAACGTGGAAATTTACATTTTTATTACGCGATCGCGGTGAAATGGAAGGAAGCGAATTACGGATCGAAGAGATGGCGGGGAAGGAAAGGAAAGGAAATTACGTTTCATCGCATTCGTGACTAGCTCGCGGATTATGATCGTTAAACGATAAATGACGGTCGAGAAGCGTGAACGATAAAACGAGACGCGGGGATATAATCGGACGTTGGGGGGAAGACGAATGCGTTAACCATAAAATTTCACTTGACGTTTCGCGTGCGAGCAAACACTTTGGTTATCGCGTCGGATTATTCACGCTGCGGACGCGATTGTTCAACGTTCAAGTTCGAACGCGCGATAACGGGACGGAATTCCCTTATCTTCGACCAAATTTCATCCCTTAAAATCGCGATCCGACGAGGATAACCGACACGTTTATACGTGATAGCCGCTTCCACCGTTACGTCCCAACTAAATTTCACACGACCAAATCGTATATACCTTCCGTTACACGAATCGACCAAGTTTCGTTTCATTGCATAATAAATACGATTCTTCCTTTCTCTTCCGGATTCGTTCGAAGAAGAAAGGAAAGAGGAGGAGGCAACGAGAGATAAAACAGAGTGGGACTCACCGTGAGGAGTTTTGGGCACGTAGAGGTTCAAGTATAGGCAGTCTTCGCTCTGGTTGGCCAGCATGGGCGCTAGCCTCTCGAGGTAGGCGCGTTTTGAGCGCGGCAGGCTCGAGTCCGGTTTCGGCGGGTTCTGGGGGCACGCGGGGGGCATGGTGTCCGCCAGCTTGGTGCCCCGCCACGGGGTCGGCGTGACCGGTGGCATGTATCGCAACGCCCCGATCGGGGGTGTGGCGTACGGGACGCCGTAATAAGTTTCCACGGAGGTGGACGATCTATCCTCGACGCCGCGCAACGTCCCGTACCTCGTCCTCACCGTCCTCGTGCTGTACTTCTGGCTACCGGCGAGGGCCTCCGCCCCACCGCCGCACCACTGTCCGCACAACAGGCCGAGCAACACGACCATCGTCGCCAAACACTTTTTCGAACCCTCCCCCCTACCCTGCACCGCCCCTTCCCTCCAGTCGCATCCCCCATTTTTCCTCCACTTTCCACCACCCTCGTCGCCCTCGCCCTCTTCGTCTTCGTCTTCGTCGTAAAAATCCCACGACACCGTCGTCGTCTCGTTCCCGCCACCTCGGTTATCCTCGGATCTTCGAGGGAACGAAGGCCGAAGGTAGCGGAGGACAGCGTCGAGGACAAAGGGCGACAGGGCGGAACTATCGTGGAACGAGGGAGGCAGAGTTTGGACAGGGTCGAGGATAGGCGAGACCACTTTCCTCTTCCTCGCGGGCGAGGAGGAGGACGTCCGCATCGCGTCACGCCGCCGCGGACTGGCCCCTCCGGGCCCCGCATCTGTGGGGCCCTCCTGCCAGGGCACGTCCCTCTTCTTTTTCCCCCTCTTCTTCCCCTTCTTCTTCCTCTTCCTCTCCCTCTCGCGCTAGATATCCTCTCGCACCCTCCTCGTGCTCCGACCCTCTCTCCTCCTCCTCACTGGAACCACCCTCGCTCACCACCACCACCACCACCACCACCACCACCACCACCACCACCACCCTCCACGGACCACGCTTCGACTCGTGTTCCAACGTTGGAAGCAACTCGCGAAATATCGGGTATGCGGCTCTCAGTTCCATCCTCGAGGACGTGCGTGGCCGGCAACGAGCTTCCGCGTCGATCGGAAGTCGTCGTTCTTCTCGTTATTCCTCCTTCCACTCGCCCTCGTCGTCTCGATCTTCGTCGTCTTCGTCGTTCGTCCGATGAACGACGACGAGGCGAGCAAGTTTAAGGGAAGCATCGGCGGCGAGGCTACGATTATATCTACCTATTGCCACTGGACCAGAGGCTTCTCAAATAATGGCTAACGCCGATCCTCCATCCGGGGGGAGGGGAAGAGAAGTTTCGAAAGTTTTACTACGAGTGCGTCGTAGGGTATCGTACGATTTGGCAGTTCTCGGTGTATATATATATATATATATATATTATATGTGTATATCTCCTCGCTTCTTTCGTATCGTATCCTTATTCGTATCAATTCCTTGATTTTATTATTATACTCGTAGTGCTCGTAGTTGACGCGACGACGAGATTGTTCCGTGGAGGCGGTTCTCGCTCGTGATTTTTCTGCAACAGAGAGAAATATATATATATATATAAAGATTAAAACGAAGGAGAATTCCGAGGGAGATCGAATTGTGAAAAAAGGGGGACACGCGAACGAAATATTCACCTCGACGCGTGTAACCTCGTTAATGAACGTTCGGAGATAAAAAAAAAAAAATGTGAATTTGCATTTCGATGAACGAGTGAACGAAATATAGATGGAGAAATATAGTATAAGTAGAAAAAAAAAGGTGAAAATTTGTTTGCAAATGTTGGAGCGAAATCCAGGACGAGAAAGGTTTGAACGAATTAACCTCGGAAATTAAAATTACATTGGAAGAGGAAGAGGAACGAAGTCCATGAGGGATTAATGGAATAACAACATTAGAATCTGGTGTCGAAAACCAACACGGTTGCTTTTGTTTCGAGCTTCTGCAGACGTTTAACCGGCTTTTTCACCCCGTTGGGAATTACCACGGACAACTCAATTTGTAACGGGGCAGGTTTCGAGTCCGCCGCAAATGACACGAAAACCCAATAATACCGATTCTGCGGCAATGCGAGAATTTCCAATTTCCAAGTTGCACCGCCCGCTTTAAACACCGACCGATCTCTGTCTCTAAGTTTCCAACTTTGCTTTCGCCCCAAACGATCGACAACGTGTTCGTATTTATTCGAACGAGACGATGAAAAAAGTAACGCGATAATCACGAGATGTTTTCGCTACGATAAAATGACGCAGAGATGATCGCGTTTGACGATAACAAATTTTCTTACGCTCGATAGCTCGTCATCTCGTTGCAACGAATGAACTTTTGTTCGCGGAAAAATTCAGAGATAAAATTATTCGGAATTGTCAGGATCGAAGTAAATAGAGAACAAGATTACGTGCGAAACGTCTCCGTAAAAAAAGGAGTCAGAGTGATAAGTGTAACCGGATAACAACCTGTGCAAGAACAACTCTAATAAAAGTTGTTCGCGACTGCGTAACGAGACAAGATTTCTCCTGTTGCGTAATAAAAAGGATCGTTAAAAAAAGGATTCACTCATCGCACTTTTTCCCATTTTGCAAAATGTTCCTCCCCAAAAACTGGATCCACTCGCACCACGAAAATTTCACTTCTTCCACCACCGAATGTTCACTTTCCTCGAAAGAAGATCGAGAAAAAAATCAACCGACCGAACAATCGAGTCGCCCGATGATACGTGAAAATGAATGGCGCGTAGAAACGAGAAAAAAGAAAAATAATTATAATAATAATAATAATACTAAACCGCGTTCGTAAAGCGTAAAGCTAAATTGCTCCAACGACACGAGGAATCGTGAAAATTATCGTCCTCCCCCGATATAAAAATTTATTAAACACAGCCTCTCCTTGATGCATTAAAAATTCAAGTTATCGCCTCGAGAAAAAATTTATCGCTCCTAAATACTATAAATAATAAACTACTACCCATCCATTTCCTATTTTTCGAAAAAGCGTTTCGTCGATCGTCGTCGACTGTCGTCAGGCCCAGACTTTGCTGCAACTTGGATGCAAAGAGGATCAAGGTGTCGGATCACGCGTCGACTTCCTCGGATTCCGTTCCTTTCTTCGTTGCTCGGCTATTGGCCGAGATATCGATAACCATTATCGGGGACGGGGAGAGAGACGGGGGGAGACTCGTTCCCGGCGAAATGAAATTCCTGACAGAGCACTAATTGCGGGGGACGAGCGGGACGATTAATAATACGGCCAGACTCTGTCCGTTCGAAGTGCCAACTCGGCGCGATCGATCCTCGCGCGAATCGCGAACAGGGAATGGAGGAGACGGACGCGGAGACGCAACTTTATATGCGTCCAGAGATATCTTCGTTTCTCTCCTCGACTCTCGATCCCATTCCATCCGAGTGAGTAGAGTAGGACGAACGATTTTGGCAGAAGCTTTCGAACTGGTATCCGTGCCGTAAACAATGGGATAGAAAATTGAACTTTTCGCGGTTCTCGGTGGTTGAGAGTGGGAAGATGAGAGGGGGAAAAAGTTGGGGAATGGATCGGGGAAATAACGAAGGAACGTGTAGTACGTATATACATATATACACACATATATAGCCGAGGAGAGAAGTGATCGAAAGCGAGAAGCCGGTTTCGTCAGCTGTTATTCGCGATTCGTAGGAGAGGCAAGCGACGAGAGGAAAGTTACGGAACCTTTTCAACCGTGATTAAACCGTAAGCTAACTAAAAGTTCTCCATCCACCGCGTATTTGCATACCTTCGAACTTAAACGGCTTCAAGTAGGGTAGAGTGGAACAAAGTTAACACTTTGCTAAGTGGTTTACCGTTAAACCATAAGCCCGAACGAAGCGGCTCGTTCGCTTATATACACGATTAGACAACGATAAGGCTACGCGTCGATCCGTTCCGTTATAATTAAAACGCGGCGGTGTTGGGAAAGGGAAGGGAAGGATCGACGAGCTCCGTTATTATTATTATCATCATCATCGTTCCTCTCGTTATCCATATAAAACGTACCGTTTCTCGGTTTATTTCGTGACACGAAGTGGTCCACACGCGAGGATGTCTTTGGTCGGCGCGCACGCACGCATACACAGAGGACACACGCAGAGGGAAAAAACGGAGAAGAGCGAAGAAACCGACTCGTTGTCCGATCAACGACGACGAACCGAGATACGAATCCAACGCGACGCCAACCGTCTCGACGCGCGAGACAATCCCGAGGCGCGCAACATCTCCTCCTCCCTTCGACCACCACCAATCCACTCTCTAGTCCATTTCACACGGCACTGGAGCGCGGCTCGACTTATAACCGGGCTTCGCTCGCGACTCGCGACTCGCCACCGATCAACTCCGTCCACCACCACCACCACCTGCACCCTTTTCTCTCCCTCCCTCCTCCCTCTTTCCCTACTTCCTCCACCTCGTTCTCCTTCTCTCTCTCTCTCTCTC